AAAGTCGTTGTTGGGTCGTGCCGGCGTTTTTTTTTGGAAAAGGGAAAACCTGTCAGCCAGGATTGGGGTAAAGTCGTTGTTGGGTCGTGCCGGCGTTTTTTTGGAAAAGCGAAAACCTGTCAGCCAGGATTGGGGTAAAGTCGTTGTTGGGTCGTGCCGGTGTTTTTTGGAAAGAGCAAACCTGTTGTTGCAGTCCTCCGCTCTAGCTTTCGTAGCCCTCCTCTCAAGTGGCAAACGCTCTCCGATGCGTGCGAACCGATAGTTAGCTGCGGTCGAGTTTGTGGTTTTTGTCATGAGGGGTGCTGTGTGCCAGACGCCGATTTGCTTTGAGACATGCTACGAACCGCACATGCACGCCGATCTGGATTGTTTATGCATTTACGCTGCCACACGGTCACACCGCCAAGCTCGGCAGCAAGCACAATGTCCAGCTGTTCCAAGCCTCGCCCCAGCTATGAAATCGAACGCGGTTGTGCGGAAGGAGCTCCCGGAGGATGTTGGCAACGGGTGCGAAGAGACCCTGGCCGGTGCATGCAGGCGGGGCTAATTTGGTGTTGGGCCTTGGTCAGAGGTACAGCAACATGATTCGGCAGAGGGCTGAAACGGGAGCACAAGCCATGCGTGAATCAGAACGGCAAGGTGCAGGAGTAACCACAATAAGCGTGCATCGTATCACTGTACCCCCTTTGCCAGTGCGTCTATGACCAAGCTTTCACAGGTGTCCGCCATCCCAAGATTTAGTCAGCAGCGTACATGGAACATGTTTCCAAGTTTGTCGGAAACGATGGCTCTCCAAAGTGACAGACTTCGAGGTGCGTCGAAGCTGGGCAGCGACAGCATCGCAACACTCTTTAAGAGCACTTTTCTAGGAGTAGCGTGACCACAAAAGCCTCCGAATTTTGGTTGTGTGTTACACTTGTCTGAGACTGCCGCGTGTATGGGACTTCCGACTGGCTGCTTACAGTCTACTCCCGAAGATGCAAACCTCCCGACGCCTCCCGAATCCCCGACACAGCTTTAGCCAGCGAGGTCTTCGGCCGCAGAGGTGCGATGCCTTGGAGAGAGCCGCTTTTGTGCCAGTTTGCAAGACATAGCTGGTCACAGTCCTCCTGGATAGTTCCTTGTTTTGCCAGAGCTTCGTGTCGTTTGAGCCCTGCATGACCGCCGAGCGCTTGCCGCAAGTAGCATATGAAAAGAGAGGGTCTTTCCTCGGACTCATACAGGGCTTCTGGAGCCACAGGCCACTCTACCTGCGGAGGATGGTGACTGGCATGTGCCTTGTCCAAAGGCGGATTTAGGGGTTTAGGGATGTCGGGTTTATGAGCGCACCAAGGCTTTACGCTAATTTGTCAGTTCAAGCGTCATCAGTATTGCCATGTGTGTGATCATCCGTATCATCGTCGCCAGCATGAGCTGCACCGACATCAGTGGGTAAGGCTGCTTGTCTCGCATCCTTGCCAGCAAACAGTATCTTTGTCGATGCAGTGTTGTCGTGGTACAACTGCGAGAAACGGTAAGTGCGTACATCGGTTCATGACTACGGTTCGCCATGATTTTTCGATACTCTCTGCGCAGCTTTCACAAACCTGCACAGCATTAGGGCTTAGGGGCTTAGATCGAGTGGAGTGGCGACGACGCTTCACTTTGGCTTTCGCCTTGGGCTTCGCTTCTGGCATCGAGCTCGATGTCGATTGCCCGGCCATTTCAGGAAGTGGTACGGACTTCAACAGCCCAGGCGTGGCAGTTCATGGTTTTGAGTTCCCTGCCCACGCAGTGCACAAGGAGCTGCATCAAACTTCACCCGCAGTCCTGAACCCAAAGACCTCGACGGTTGCAGGCTGGACCGGCATGTGCAGACTTGTCAGCCTTGCAAAGGTTGCGGCCTTGGCGAACGTGTCGGAAGACGAGGTGGTGTTTGCAGTGCAAACTTCGGAGCACATGGATCGTAATCGGAGTCATCAGCAAGTAGAGTTGTCAGAGGTTCATGGGTCGGAATTGGCATGATTATGCTGGGCCCCTCAAGGGTGCAGCGCTTCACAACTCCTGGATGGGGGCTACAGTGAGTAGGAAGCTATGCAAGCATCACGGAATGGTTCTCTAGTCACAGCTCCAGGAGCTTTCGCTTCTGACGAAGACTCTCTAAGCTCGAAACTAAAAGCTCGAGGAGCTCTGGACGGACGCGGGGCAAGGCAACTTCACGCATTGGGCTGCCGAGGCGCGATGCCTTCAGTGAAAACCACGGGGTCCGAGGACTTAGCGATCTTATGCCGTTGGGTTCTTCAATAAAAGTAGGAAGCTGATGCTGGCAATACCCAGAGGTCATCAATAAAAGCATGTTGGTAACAGTATTCCCATATAGTCGTTATTAGTATCATTCATTATAGCAGGCTATAGTTCAACTTCCTAGTCTTATCATTCAGGCCGCTACAGTGTTTCAAGGGTCATGGGTTTTCACCGGCAGGGTTGTAGGTCAGGTCTCCATGTAGTGTATGACCTTACTTGCTGTACCTACGATGAACCCTCAAGTGGCAGGGAGAGCCGCTGAAGCTTTTGTAACCCTGAGATGCAGAACCCCAAAGGCTAAAGCGATGCTGCATGATCCCAGGTCCTCAGTACTGTCCGATCTTTCTATTCAAAGCGGCCTCGACTCACCTGGAGGAAGCCTTCGCGGGCACAGGAGAAAGGAGGATACTTCAGCAGAAATGCCGAAGCTCAACAGGAAAGCGAAAGCGATGCATAGCCGTAGACGCAGTCATGCCTCTGCATCATGGCGAGGTGGGTCGAATGTTCCTGTGGTCAGAGACGGCGGGTGTGCTTTACGTGCCTCAAGCTGAATTGGACTTCGTCTTTGAATGTTGCGATGAAGCACAGTGATGCAAGAATCTCATCCCTGCGTGGCGGTCTCGAGGGCTGCAGTGTGATGGTTATGTTGTTCGTCCGGCACCTTCCCCACATGCCTGCTGCCAAGGAGTACCTCCCTGGACAGAGCAGCAGCAGGCCCCTGCACAATAGCACAATTACGGTCTTCCCGAGAACTTTCCGAGAGCGACCGGTGCATATGCCTAAATATATTCTCTCTGCGAACCGATACTTCGGGGACAGTCATGGTAACTGCTTTGATGAAGTCTGAGTGTCAGGGCTTCAACCTCCCGGTCCCTCGGTTGTTCATGCCAGGGAGCTCTCTGCCTGCGCGCATGTGTGGGGTAAGGGCGATACCTGTGGCAAAGCAGCTTGACATCCCCACGCACGACGCTCCGAAAGCCAAGCTTTGAGCCTGCCGTGTTCTTGACAGCTCCGCATCAACGCCGCCTCGGTACGAGGTGGCTTGCACCTGTGGGCTTTTTGGTGCAGTGATATTCTTGAGTTTCCACTCGGGTTCGGAAAGCCTGTGGGTGGTTTTTCCAGAGAACCCGCTGAGTGCAAGGCCTACGCGCCTGCTTGCAAGATGACTCAGTCAAGAAGCAGAGGAAAACTCTGAGTGTAGCCTCCTACTGCAGCCCGACTACCTGTGCAGAAGACATTGTCTTCCTCACTGATTCAACTGCCTTCACCCTGCGCCTTCAACTCCGGAGCGTAGCCACGTCTGCAGAGGCCCTCTGGGCGGCACAGGGCCCTCTGGCGATTCTCAGCCACCGAGACGATCCGCAGAGCGCGCGGCTCGTGGCCGCCCGGTGCAATTCGGGGAGTGTGCTAGTTGTCAGCTGCGGGGTCGTTAGCTCAGAAAATGACAACAGACATGGAGTTTCTGGGTTGCTTTTGATGCTCCTGATGGCAATCGAGGTCCAAGTAAAGAGGCTCGAGGTTTGATCTTTGTGGAGATGCTATGTTCGTGCATGGCGGTTCAGGCGCGCAAGAGGAACTTTCCGCCCTCACACCTCATCTGGCTGAAGCCCAAGAGGTAAACCCTGACCTTACTGAAGCCACCATGCAACCCAAAGCCTAAACCAAGGAAGGGACAAACAAAAAGCCGAGGCCCCCGAAATCCTTGCCTGACCCTCAACCCGAAAGGATTGGGGTTTTGCAGGATTTCGTCGAGATCTGAGCCCCGCCGCCGCCTTTCCTCAGGATCGTCGCGGTTTGCTTCTGGGGAGTGCGGCTTCCGATGAGTCGGCAGATGGCGAGGCCAGGAGGATTTAGGGCTCAGGGACTGCTGCAGGCATGGCATGTCAGGCTGTTCCCATCACTGCGAGTCGCGGAGCTTTTCTCGGCAGCTCCTAGATTTCCGAAACCGATTGAGGGCAAGAAGACGTAAAAGGCACCATGCAGTCCCCTTGGCAACATCAAGCCATGGATCAGCAGAAGCCCTTGAAGGCGCCCTTCTGGGAGTTGCCGGGTCCTGGAATCCGGCCCCGGCACGCCCGCCTGGCACACGGCAGGAGCGGTTGGTATGTGGAGGCAACATTCGGGGCTCAGGCGTTCAGTATTCGTCGAGAGCATGCGTAGTGAAAGGTGCATGGCAGCTGCCTGTGCGTGTGCAGGACGAGATGTAGGATTCTGGAGCCGCCCGGGGGGGGGGGGGTAATAAAGACTGTGACCTTGGATGGGTTTCGTGCTTCTAGGCTGTGTTTTCGCGGTATGTCCCACGTCTTGAGTTTTTGGGATGGTTTGGAAGGCGTCGGGAGCAAGGCTGTTCTTTACAACACGCCTGAGCACTGTGCTGTGACAGGTGTTTCCTGATGCTGAGATCCTGGTGGATGGCCAGCGAGCTGACGCAGAGCAAAGCAACCCAGCTGCGATTCGGGCCACGTAATTTGTGCATTGGCTGCATCCTGCATCGGATTGGAAGCTCTCGTGCAATCGAAGCCCGGTCCCAAGTTTTGGGATTCCAGGTTCTCTGCTGCTGAAGCACGGGAGTTTGCTGCGGCTGGGCGCGCTGGCCGAGCTCCGAGTGGACCTACCCGACGCTCGGTGCAGCTTTTCGAGCAAGAGCCCGAAGCAGTTGCTTGGAAGCAGGGTGACAGTGTGCAGATCCAACCGAGGAGACGCCCGACTCCGTCCGCCCAGGCAAGGCAACGTTGAGAATTGACGCTGCATCTCATGGCTGCGTGACGTGATTACGTGGTGCTCTTGGGGCACCGGGAGTGAGGCGGTGAATCGCCGCGGCCTTGCAGGACCCACCCCGACAGCATCCACGGGCGCATGCCCTGCTGCCCCTAGGCTGCCAGGGCAGGCGAATGGCGCTCTTACTCGGCGAATAAGGATTCTCACGTAGCACTGGCAGCAGTGTGTCGAGAAATTGCAGCTACGTAGCTGAATGCTAGATTGGGCATCGGTAATGACCTCTTCACATGAGCTGCCGATCTGCGAACAATCGTAGAGTGACTGTCAAAGAGCCTTCGGCACAGTCCCCAAAAAGTCTTGAGCCTTACGCCCGACATTCAAAACCTGCGGCCGTCCCGAGGTGTTGGAGAGGGGCTTCGTGGCCCGCCGGGAGGAGGAGCTTCCAAGCGAGGTGTCAAGAGCCGATGGAACCGCAGACTCCCAGAAGACGAGATTGCAAGAGCCAGGGGGAATCGAACTCCTACACATCCTAAAACTGCCAAACGCCTAATTAAATGTCTTCGATCTAAGTCCTTCAAGCTTTAAACCCCTGAACCCTCAACTTTTTCCCTGAGCCCTCCCAAGTTTTGCCCGAGCTTTGACCCCCATTGCAGAGAAGGAGCCGGAGCTGCCTCCAGCGGCGCTCTCCGGCTCAGCGCGAGCCCGGGAGCTGAATCGCGCCTTGCGCCGCCTCTGGGACTCATCCAACGGAGCCTTGCGGATTTTTTCGGGGTCTCTTTTCCTGGGCGGCTCCTCATCACGGGAGCTCGTGCCAAGCCATGTGCAGGATCTCCCCCCAAATCACCCATCTCTCAAAGTTTTTCTCAAGATCCTGACCGTCCGGCCGGTCCATTATACCGCCATCATGTCCTCATCACCATCCCCGTCACGCCCCCATCACAACCACGCCGCCACCGGCGAGCACCGCCGAGCACCACTGACCTGCGCCGCACCTGCGCCTGCTCTGAGCTCTCGCGACAGGCCACGGCCTCGCACGGTTTTCCGTGCTCGGAGCGTCCCGACAGTTCGAGAGCCTTCTGGCGTCGGAGTCGCGGAGTCACCCCCCCGGCCCCCGGACTCTCCCAGAGACGCGGGGCGCATGTCCTCTCTCTCTCTCTGCGTTTGTCTCTGCGTTTGGCGCTTCAGAGCCCTCGCACTCGCAAGCTCGCAGAGTCTCGCAGGCCCACCCCCGTTAAGCTGTACAAGACGGCATCCCTCTGCGGAAAGAGCTGAAAACAGTGACAAGCGAACGTCCAGAAGCAGGCCAAGCAGGAAGGCAAGACACATGCGGTGGTGGCATTGATGCGTCACCATGCGACCGGCAGCATTACAAGCAACCCTGAACTGCCCGAAACTTCAGCAACCCAGAGATGCGGGGAGCACTCGGAGACGAGGCATCATCTGCGGCCCGGCAGCGGCCGCCTCCGTCGGCGAGAGGCCGCTTGCTTCAGGGGCTTCCGGGGCTTTTCGGGGCTTTTGATTTTGATGGTTTGCGGGGGGCCGATCTCTATTGAATGCCGATTGGAGCCGATCTCGGACCCGGAGCTTTCAGAGGGTTTGGGGGCCCGGGCCCAACTTCGCAGCCGCGAGCTGCCGATATGTCCGCGCTCAGGCGCACATTGAGTGCTTCCACGATTCCGTTAAAGGTTATCGGTGCCTTCTTTGCTGAGGTGAAAGCACCGCCAGCAAGGGACCCCCCAAAAAGCCAGAGTGACAGCCGCGTGCGGGCGTCGGGCATGCCAGGAACGATGCGCTGCGCAGGGAGACTCTTTATGAGGACCTTTGGCAGTTGTACTCCTCTTGAGAACTCTTGCGGATGCGAGGTCTCGGCGTTGGGGTTCCAGTTCTTCTAAACCTTTCACATGCATGTGCATCTTGTTGGGTTCGGAATTTTGCGTCTCGAACCCGCAAGCCGAAGAGCACATCGATGCATGCCGTTCCTGAGGAGAGCTTGAAGACAAAGCTTCGGGTTCTATTCAGGAGGGAGGGGAGTCTTTGCAGAGCTTTCTCTCGTGGGAGCTCCGGAGGACCGGGCCGAGAAGCGCCGGCGCCTCCACCCCGTGGAGTGGTCCCAGGCCTCACCAGCTTTCCGCAGCCTTGCTTGGGCTCGGTTTGGGCTGTGGAGATGGATTCTGTCTATGCCAGCTCGCCTTTAAGTCTCCTTCAAGTCCATGCTGAGAGTTTGGGGAGCATAGGGTTAGGGGGAGGCGGCTTGGAACCAGAGCCGATATGACAACGAAGCGTCACTCTTTTTCGGAGGTTCCTGCCACGACGAAGGACTCGCAGAATCACCTTGACTGGAACTTACTTGAGGGCTGCTTGTGCTGGGGACGTGGGCAAGCCGGAGAGGGTCCGGATGCCACCGTGATGCCAGTCCCAGCGATGTCGGCCTGGAGCCCCGAATCTAGCAAGACTGCGCGAATTCTCCGAAGCCTAGTCTCAGAAGCCTCACCATGCAAAGCCGACGGATGGATCGTTTGGCTGTTGCATTGCGTCACTTGAGACTGCTGGACTCGCAAGCCTTCAGCCGAATTGCGTCAGAATTTAGCAGGTAGTGGAGGCGTGTGCAGCAAAGCCAGGATAGCGCAGACCGGCACCGCGATGCTTTGCTGCAGCTTCTGGACGAGACTACTTCGCAGGTGGCTCGAGTAGAGACGCAAATCAGGCTTGCATGGACTTTGCCATCGCAGTCATGAGCCTGAGTCCGCAGCGTCGATCCCTTATTGGTAGTTTTGGCAAGCCTTCAGAAGCGGCCCGAAGAGTGCACTCCACCGAAGCGAGAAGCCCAGCGAAGGCGCGGTCCCTGGTCCAGGCACCTCCAGATCGCCGCTTTCGTGAAGCTCCTCCGGCATGAGCCGTGCGCAGCCGCGCAGCCGCGCAGCCGCCGCGCCCCCCCCCCCCGCCGGGCCCTCGCTGCAGGCACGGCGTGTTGGGAGCTGCTGAGACGACAGTCTTTCCTGTCACTGCTAGCCAACCAGTCAGTGGTGCAGAAAGCTATGGACGCTTGACGTGTATGCCATGTATGCAAGGTGGGACTCGCGGGATAAGATTCTGCAGATTCTGTAGTCTCCCCGTACCAGCTGCAAAACCGAACGACGTTGTCTACGATCTGCTGTCCGTATACGCCAGTCCCAGCGATGTCGGCCTGGAGCCCCGAATCTAGCAAGACTGCGCGAATTCTCCGAAGCCTAGTCACTAGTCTCAGAAGCCTCACCATGCAAAGCCGACGGATGGATCGCTTGGCTGTTGCATTGCGTCACTTGAGACTGCTAGACTCGAAAGCCTGCAGCCTACATCCGAAGTCAGCGGCCAGTGGAGGCCATGTGCAGCTCCACGACCATCGCAGTGCAGAAGACCTGCACCGCGATTGCGTCAGCTTCTGGACGAGGGTGCTTTGCAGGTGGCTCGGGTACGGGCGTCCTCCGAAACTCCGGAAAAGACCTCTATCAGAAGCGGCACCCGAATAGTGCCACCAAAAAAAAGCCCAGCAAGCCCATCGGCTCGGCCCCTGGTGCAGGCACCTCGGCTGTATAGCGAAGCTCCTTAAAGCACCGAAGGCGCACGCGCAGCCGCGCCCAGCCGCGCCCAGCCGCGCCTTCGCTGCAGGCACGGCGCTTTTTGGGAATTTCACGCCACCGGCCACGGACTATTCAGTGGTGCAGAAAGGTATGGACGTTTGACGTGTATGCAAGGTGGGACTCGCGGGATAAGATTCTGCAGATTCTGTGGATGTATAAGTGAACGGTGCTGTCTACGATCCGCTGTCGGCGAGGCACGCTGTGCCGCTGTGAGAGATGGGGCCGGACACGGTTTCTCGCCGGGTGCTTGGGGCAGCGGAAAACAACTGTAAAGGAGGTAATTATGGGTGGGGCGCCTTTGGTGCTGTGAACGATTTGGGAAAGCTGTGAGTTAACGAGTCAGGGACGGTGTGTTTGCTGGAAGATGGCAGAAGGATGCAGCGAGTAAGCAGCTACGGCTACTTGCGATGGATTATGATGGTCGTAGCGCTGGATGCTGCAACAGTCACTGATGGACATTCTCCATGATGCTCTGCAGTTCACGCAGTGTGTGTTCCGCACGGGCCGTCACGGGCTCATTTTGCAGAATTTCATCCCTCGCGTGCCCTGCCCCACGTCCTCGCTGTTTGTAGAGTTTTTCAGCTGAGACACTATGGCTTTGGAGCATGTGGCACCGACTCTGGAGGAGCTTGCGATGACCACGGACATCGATGGGTTCAGCTGCATGCCAGGTGTGGAGACAAACCTGGGCGAGCTTTTGACCACAGCTGCTTTGGCAAAGCCCCAAGGCATATGCTTAGAGACGCAGGACGGCTGCTACACTTTTCTTCAGGTGCAGGAGCAAACTTTGAGTTTTCTGAGCAGAGCTGTAGCACCAATACAGCAACTCACGGCACCCTCACGCCTGAATGCTCCAGGTGGCTCAGATGGCAGATGCAATCCGCAAAGTTCTGCGAAAAGCTTTGCAAAGCCTGGAGTTGCCGACATGTGGAGCGATTGACCTCAGCTCACCGGACGCACACACGCGGCGAGCCGATGAGCACGTGGTCTGGGGCTCACAGGGCTTTGGGGTTCGATAATCTCTGCTTTCCCCTCTGTCACCATCCTCGGCACATGTAGCAGGTCAGGGTTTCAATTCTCGTTTGACGGCGTGTTTCACGGGGCTCACATGGCCTCATGACATGGGCTTCGGGTGGCCGAGCTCTTGTGCTCTTGTGCTACGAGGCTTTGTACCCCGATCTTGAGTTCGTTGTACCAAGGTGACCATCGTGCTGGAGCGAGGCGTCCAGAGCATCGCAGCCGTACATGCCGTGCTGCTTGAGGGTTGTGCCTACAACGCCTTCGACGTGGGGGAGCCGGTTGAGAAGCTGCGGAGCTGGGTTGAGGTGTCGCAGCCTCCTATCATGATCTCGAACGAATCGACGATGCGGCGGCTGAACATCACAAACGTGACAGCGACCCTGGGCGGGTTCCCACGCATGGTGCTGGATGTGGACCTTGCTCTGAAAAAGGCAAGCAGCACGGCCCTCCCTCTGCGTCCAGCCCATGCTCCAGAGGACCTGGATAGGCCGGTTGAGTATATGTTCGACGTGGGGTTCTAAAGAAGGGAGTTATAGGGCTCTTTCTTGTGCTCTTTGAAGGTTAGCCTACCTGATCTTCACCAGTGGCTCCACGGGCAAGCCGAAAGCAGTCATGATCCGACACAAGAGCGCCCTGAACGTTGTGCGCATTTGGGGCAGGTATGTGGGTCTGAACGAGCAAGATCGCTTCGCACAGGTTGCTTCAATGTCCTGGGATGTTCACGTCATCGAGGTCTACGGCACCATGGCTGCCAGGTCCACCAGCGTGACGTGCCCGGATCTCGTGAAGAAGAGCGGCCCGGACATGCAAGTTTGGCTGAAGGAGAAGCAGATCTCCGGAATGAGCGTCGTGCCCTCGCACCTGCGCACCATGGCGGGCGGAGGAGAGGGCCAACTGTGACCGTTGCAGTGACGATTTAGATTTAGGCGGTGCGTGTGCCTGTGGAGGAGCCGATGTGTCCAGAACTGCGGCTGGGCTGCCTCATTTGCGCATCCTGGATGTTGGGGGGGAGGCCTTGGGCGCCGACGTCGTGGACACCTGGGCGCCTGGGCGCAGGCTCTTCAACAGCTATGGGCCTTCGGAGATTTCGGTGGTCTGCACCGGGGGGTATGTCCAGAGCGGCGATGTGATCACGATTGGAGCACAATTGCCCACCTATGACTGCTATATCCTGGACCCAGAGACCATGGAGGCCGGCAGGAGCCTGAAGGGCCTGAAATGTTGCAGCTTTAGCTTTAGCTGCTTCAGGTGAAGCCCGAAGGCGAGCGAGGTGTCCTCTTTGTGGGAGGCATTGGCTTGGCCCGCGGATACCTGGAAGAGGAAGAGAAGACGAGGCAGAAGTTCATCGAGCTGCCCGGCCTTGGCCGCGCCCCTCTGCCTGAAACTTTCTCTCCACTCCTCGCCCCTTCTGCACCCCCACACATTCCCGCTAACCGCTCAGGTCTACAACACCGGAGACCTCGCTTCGCGTGCCGGTGACGGCCGCATCCACTACCACGGACGAGTGGACTGGCAGGTAAAGGTTCGCGGGATCCGGATTGAGCTGGAAGCCCTAGAGCAGGACTCCCCCATGACGGTTTTTTTTGTATTTGCAGAGTGTACGTAAAGTGCAAAAGCAGCGACAGATCTTGGCTTCTTGGCCTGGGAAGGCGATCACGGAGCTGCCTGCAGTGAAGCACTGCGAGGCCCGCGTGCTGGACGGCGGTCAGCGACTGGTCTCGCCCTCAACGCGAGAACATGCGAGAATTTTCGGGCACTTTTTGGTGGAAAGATGCCTATAGACTTCTGTTGTCAGGTTCTGCTGGCCTCGGGTTCCGTGGAGCTTTCAGAGGCGGAGCTCAAGGCGACGGCTGCAGCTCTGGGCCGCGGCTACGTGCTGAGCCAGGCGCCGCGGCGCCACATGTTCTTCCCTTCGTAGGCCTTGTGCAACAACTGTATGTTCCAGAGCGCCAAAGCAAAAGACGCGGGGCCCGCAGGTGAAGATGGTGGAGAACGACGCCTGGAAGTTCAACACCTCCGGCAAGCTCCTGCGCAACGCCGTGCCACTGGATGCGGAAACCGCTGAAGTGACCAAAAAGGATGCTTGGGAGAGCTTCGTGAAGGAAGGCGCCACCGAGTTGGAGAGGGAGATTGCCGCCTGCCTGGCACCCCAGCTCAGCAATGTGGAGCAGTGGGACTGCAACTCCCACTTCATGGAGGTGCGCACGAGTTCGTGACACTAAGTACTGCACTCCCTGTGGTGGTAGATGTTCTGGACCGTGTGCCTGTTGCAGGACCTGGGCGTGGATTCTGGAGGCTTCGGCCGTCTCATTTCCCAGATGCGTGCAAGGCCTTCATTGCAGCAGGTGGATTTGCAGCTGCTTTTCGAGCACCCTACAGTGCGGTCGCTGGCCGCTGCGCTGGCTCTGTCGGGCGACGACTCCGACTCTGACCACGAAGGTGGCGCTGAGATCGCCGAGGGATTGGTGCATGACTTCATGGCCCGCTTGGAGGAAATGCCTCATATGCTTTGCGCCGAGTCTGGCTGTCAAAGCATCAGCTACCATCAGTTGTCTAAGCTGTCAGCTTCGTACCAGCAGTTGCTTCATCAGATGAAGCATGAGCCATCCGGGTGCGTGGCCATCTGCTTGGAGCTTCCTGGGAGGCTTGCGGCTATGCTGGCTGCAGCCAGCGAGGGCCGCACTTTCTGCGTCTTAGATTCGAGCACCAGTGATCTCTCCTTGCTCGAGCAGCTCCGAGTGGCGAAGCCGCAGATGCTGTTGGCCAGGAGGGCGGAGATGGCAGAGGCCCGATGGACATGCCTGGAGCAGCACTGCAAGCTTGCCAACGTGGCAAGGCCTGCAATCAGTCGCTTCTAGCAGCTTTTGTGGTGGTTGCTGCTGCTGGCATTCTGGATTTGCTAAACGTGATCTGTTGTGAGATGAGGTCATTTGCGTGGATGTGAGCTTCTCCTCCCTCCAGTCGAAGACGCTGAAGCAGCGGGCCTCGGCACCTGTTGCCTGCATCGCCTTCGAAGAGACCAGCGTCTTGCCGGCACTGATTCGCGCCACTTGTTTCCACTCGGGCTGTTTTGAGGCGATGGGCTCCGAGCTCTGCCTGCATCCGAAGCCGTGCTGCAGCAGGCCGCCGCTTCGTGGCGGCTGCATGTGGAAGGCCCCAAAACCCGAGTGCTCTGCAGCCTGGAAGCGGGCAGCGTCGGAGGTTTGGCTGTAGCCTGGACTTGCCTGACAGCCGGAGCCACGCTTCTGGCTCCCTC